TGACGACTTTCTTAAGAGAATTAGTCTTATTTTGTTATGTGGAGACTTTTGGATTGTTTGGTGCTAATAAAATTAGTCTCTTTTATGTGAAGTGAGAATTAAGAATACCCCTCCGAATTTTGGTTGTAAATTGAAAAAGTAAGTTGCATGGGGAAGAATAATTTTTGTGATAATATTTTGGCTCATTTTGTGGCTCTTTGCCCACTAGTTGGCATGATATTGCTCTAATTGTTCTTATTAAGAAGTGAAATTGATCCATCTTGATTAGTTTATGTGCCATGTGTGTTAGTTTTTGTTAAAAATAATTTTTGTGTTCACTTTTATCATCTAGAACTTGTCCGGTTGGACTTTCAATGCTAATGTTAATTATGTTTGGTTGGAGGGATGACCTTAAGTATTCTTTGTGGTATTTGAAAAAGCCTCTTTAGCCTTTCGAACCTACCATTGCATAAATATTATCACTAGTTAACCCCATTTGAGCCTTTAACCTTTTCTTTGGCTACCTCATTATAAACCTTTACCCTTTTTGTGAAATAATTCCCTCTTTTAAACCCGTCCCTCCTTGAATACTAAGAATGAAGCTAAAAGCCTAAGTTGGGGGTGTTGGTGTTAATTGGGAAATGGTGAAGATGTATATTGTGTGTAGAAACATATACCTCAAAGTTGTTTATATGAAGATACTCAAGCTCCAAAAGAAAATAGTTGTATAAAAAAATAAAAAATATGGAGTCTTGAAAAAATTAGAGAGGTACTTTAAGGTGGTTCTATGTTGGTAACTAGATGTCAATAAGGGTTATGTGATTTAAAAAGAAGCAAAGTGTAAAAAGAAAAGACAAATGTGAGTAGTGTTCAAGGAGGGTGTAGTCACTTATATCCCAAATGCTTATCCTACCCTTCCCTAAGCCTACATTTCAAGCTTAGAAAGTCATTATGGGATCTCCAACCGAATGTTCTTGAATAGGCGGCGAATTAAAATAGGGCAAGCTTATGGCATGCTATTTTGTAATACTTGAAATTCTTTGTTGAGAGTGAGTGTCTTTGTGCATTTGTCCCTTGTGTTGTTATTGTAAATATGGTGATTTTGGGACTTTATTTATTGTTAGGGCACATGGATTATGATGGATTGGTGACATTGATATATTCCGAATTGAGTAAATTGAGCATATGTAGTAGACTAATGCTTTTGAGTCACTTCTTGAGGCTTGGTTGTTGTCACTTGATTATGTTAAAACTCTATTGCATTCTTGAAATTGTTTTAAATAAGGGAGTTATTTGGTTGAGATTCACATACTTGAGCCTAATTATTAGTACCATCCAAATCCATAAGTGTTATGCTTAATTGGAGAATGTGATTTGGAAATGATAGTGATGCTAATTGTGCATTGAATAGTAGTGCCTCATTGAATTTTTGGTTTTGATTTGCTTGAGGACAAGCAAAAGCTTTAAGTTGGGGGTGTTGATGAGTGGTGATTTTACCATTTATCTTAGTCTATTTTCTTTAGTTTTTATGACCTTTAATTATAAAATGAGGTGATTTATGGTGTGCATTGCTAGATTTTCAAGTAAATGAAGTCTTGAAGAGAAGTGAAATTAAATGAAGTGGATTCGTGCAAAAAGAGTGAAAGAAGTGCAAAAATCTCTAGTGGAATCGCATCTGCACAGAACCATCCGCATCTGCGAGAAATGGTCCGCATTTGCGGAATAAGACTTGCAAGGCAGACATCGCATCTGCAATTAAAGAACCGCTTTTGTGGTTGAGGTCCGCATTTGTGAAGCCGCTTCTGCGGAGCAGGAAATTCTCCACAAGTTTCACATTTGCGAATTAATGTCCGCTTATGCGGAACTGCACCTGCGATGATTCTTCCGCAGGTGCGGCCAATGGGCTTCAAACCTGGGCAGACTTGGCAATTCACATTTTCTCCATTCCAAACCCACAAATACACGACCTAACTTATTGGAAACATATCTTTTGGCTTATTTTCAGTCTCTTGACTAGAGAACACAAGTTTTGGAGCTAGGGTTCTTGCACACACACTTGGGTCTTGAAGATTTGAAGCTTTTGGTTGAGAATTTCTTACTCATTTATGCTCATTTCTTCATTTTCTTGCTTTGTATTGTATATCTAAGTGTAGTATTTTTTCCAACACTTGAATCTTGTTTATGGGAATATTCGTATTTAAAGTGTGGATTAAATATCTTATTGTGCTTATGTATTGAACGATTTTTATTTATTATGAAGTGAGTTATTATTTCTTTAATTATTCTTAATATTTTCAAAGGGATTAGTTAACCCTAGGACTCACTCATTCACTTCGAATTAATTTTTGGAAAGATAATTTGGGCTTGGGAAAGATTAATTAACAAGAACTTGAGGCGTCAACCCTCACTTTATAGATTTTTTCTAGGGATAGTATTGAACTACTTGTATCCATATTCGGGTGTGCTTAATCTCTTAATTATTTTAGGGATAATTCAATTAGGAAGTCTTGTTAGTCTTCAGAAGAATCTAATATAGAATTATTACCCGAGACTAATTAAGATAAACTCGCTCATTTGTAAAATCGTGAAATACATTGGATCGTTACTTGAGTGCAATTCCCAATGCATCCATGCTTGTACCCATTGATCATTTTACTTGCTTTCTAGGTTAGTTTACATTTTCGCAATTAGTTATAAATATTTTTTCAAAACTATTTTAAGTGTTTGGCCTAGCATAATAAATGATAATTCTCTTACACGCCTAATCGCCTACACATTGTTCTCTGTGGTATTCAACCCCGACTCATAGTTGGGTAAATTATATTGCATGCGACCGTGTCCATTTACTTTTTAGTAGTGGATTTGGACGTCATCAAAATTGGCGCCGTTGCCGGGGAACAATTTGGTGTATTTATGTTGTTTGAGAAATAAGCATACGTGCTTTGGTCCAAACTTGTGAATATTTGTGTAATTATTTCTTATCTTTGTTTATTTTGTCTTATTATTCTTTTGTTTGTTTCTTCTTCTTTTTTAGTTTTGAAAAATGGCATCGCATAATGAAAATTGGCCGGATGGTAGTCGTTCATACTTTGATGACCCTTGTCCTTATTGTGGAGGACCACACTCATAGCAAAATTATTTAAATTCTCCCGGGGACGGATTGTGCGCACAATATCAAACCCATGAGTGGAGTATTTATTATAAGTGTGGTGGTCAAAAAGGCCATTGGACTAATTGTGCTTATTTGTCCTTCCCTTCCCCAAACCCCCGCTATGATGATTCTACTTTTTGTGATAACAAATATAGGGATATGAAAGTGGAAGAAATTGAGCATAGTCAAAATGGAGAGGTGTACATGTTGCCTACGTTAGGTTGATTAAGGACATGTATGATGGAGCAAAGACCCTAGTGAGGACGGTGGGTGGGGACTCAGACCATTTTCCGGTTATGATGGGGTTGCATCAGGGGTCGACACTCAACCCTTTTTTGTTTGCTCTGGCGATGGACGCACTGACGCGCCACATCTAAGGGGAGGTGCCGTGGTGCATGCTATTTGCAGATGATACTGTATTGATTGACGAGACACGAGATGGTGTGAACGCGCAATTAGAGGTATGGAGGCAAACCATGAAGTCTAAAAGTTTCAAGTTGAGCAGGATCAAGACAGATACTTGGAGTGTAAGTTCAGTGGCGAGACTCAATGAGGGGGAGGTGAGGTTGGACTCGCAGGTCATCCCTAGGAGAGGAAGTTTTAAGTACCTTGAGTCTATTATTCAGGGGAATGGGGAGATTGATGAAGATATCACGCATCGTACTGGGGCGGGATGGATCAAATAGAGACTCACTTCTGGTGTTTTGTGTGATAAGAAGGTGCCATCGAAACTTAAAGGTACGTTCTACAGAGTGGTGGTCAGACCAACGATGTTGTATGGGGCTGAGTGTTGGCCAGTCAAGATCGCTCATGTCCAGAAGATGAAGGTAGCAGAGATAAGGATGTTGAGATGGATGTGCGGGCACACCAGGTTAGATTGGATCAGAAATGAGGTTATTTACGACAAGGTGGGTGTGGCCCCTATTGAGGACAAGATGTGGGAAGCGCGACTTAGGTGGTTTGGTCATGTGAGGAGGAGGAGCACAGATGTCCCGGTGAGGAGGTGTGAGAGGTTGACATTGGAGGGCCTACGGAAAGGTATAGGTAGGCCAAAGAAGAGGTGGGGAGAGGTGATTAGGCAAGATATGGCGCAGCTTCAGCTGATCGAGGACATGACCCTTGATAGAAAGGTATGAAGGTCTAAGATTAGGGTAGTAGAGTAGGTAGTCTAGAGTATTCATAACAGTAGTATTAGCACGCAATCTCGCTTTCTGTTGGTAGTAGGTTTTTATGACTAACCGTTGTTTTCTTTCATTATTGATCACCTTACTATCTTGTTGTTTTATTTTGCTTTTATATGGCTTTTTGGTAGTGTCCCTTTTTGTCTATATTTTCATTAATGTGGTGCTTATGCTTTCCTGAGCCGATGGTCTATTGGAAACAACCTCTCTATCATCACAAGGTAGGGGTAAGGTCTGCGTACACACTACCCTACTCAGACCCCATGGTATGTGATAATACTGGGTATGTTGTTGTTGCATATTGCCGCCGTTATCCAAACATACTTACATAGTATTTGTTGCACTTTCGAGAACTCCATCTTAAGGATATTATTATTAGCTAAGATTAACCGTCATTTATATAAATTTAATTATTTGAACCATTCCTAAAGTATCAAACTAGAAAAACACATTATTTTTTAAATAGACTATAAAAAGTTAGACAAATTGAAACGGAGTGAATATATTTCATTTTATTAGTTGGTGAATGTAGCGTAGAACTCTGTGTAATCATGTATTCCATGTCTGGTTTATTTCCTTTTCTGATAAGTGTAAATGCTAAAATCTATAATGGAAACAGAAATGAAGCACAGGTAGCAAAAGTAATCGAAATTGAAATAATAAAATGATAGACATAAAGTAACTAGAGAGAAAGAAAACAACATGCAGTAAGTTCAATACATAAAGAAAACAATTCCATAATATCGTAAAATTGATTTTCGTGCTAGTTGACAACTATAAAACTGAAAAAACCATAACTTATTTTTTATTCTTCTAATTAAGTGCGGTATATATGCCTCCTTCAGCAAATACAATTAAGAAATTGGTTGAACTTATTTTTTAGGAGTGAGAACGTACATCCTGCAATCATGGGAATCAATGCTAGCTGATAGTTGCCCTTTAACTGATCCTTTTGTTGAATGCTGCAAACCAATCCAATTGATATATGTTATTCACTTTAAACTTGCATGTAAATATACAAATAGTCAAATACAATATAATGATGCTTATCTTTTTACTATCTTTTGTTTATCACTTTATCTAAGTAGTCCTCCAAATTAAGTTATAAATTTCAAAATCATACTTGTCCTTTGCTTTGGAAATAAAACAAAGAATTTTAGTTATATGACCCTTTTCATGGGACATTAACACATGAGATCGGTACTGAAATCTTTGGAGGATTATTTTCTATTATTCAAATTATAACTAGTCATACAAAATCAATTCCTTATTCAATTGGACCGCACCATCACCGCAAAAGAGTAATTAGTAAAATAATACTACTTTATATTCATTAACCTAAAAATAAAAGCCACCTCTGCACGAAGATTGATAAAATTTTAACAAGTAATAAAGACGTAATTAGACTGGAATTAATCTTACCTCTTAGAACGTCAAATATTATAAAATCTTAATATTGATCATGTTAAACTAATCATATGTGAGCAATTTAAATTAGAAAAAAGGAATAAATGAAAGACTTACAGCCCACAAGTCTCGTGCATCAACAACAGTGGAAGAATCAAGGCCTATATCAGACCAATAAGCAGTGATATCAGCTTTGGATGAACTTCTATTCCACAGCACCATTGCTAATCTTTTGCCACTTAGGGGACCTGCCCAAACCTGTTACAGTGTATTTGCAGGTCTTGTATTAAAAAAGAGTAATAAGGAACGGAGCCTTGAAACATCGATAAAGTTATCGCGTAATATATGGCGGATTTATAGCCTAGATGATGATGAACGTGAACCCATGGTCCCTCCACCAAATTAGGTATATTATGTACATATTTCCTAAAATAGATCTAATTTTAACAATTGGCCCCCCATGCTCCAAAATGATTAAATGATGCACTTGATAAGATGTTAGGTTATTTATCTAGAGGAATAGAGATCTATTCTCACTTAATACTTTTTGTTTTTCCATTCTTTTTCTCCTTCCTTTAGTTTCGAACCCAAGCCCCATTCCCCACTGTCAGTCCTTCCTAAACTCATTCCCAATACTTCTTATTCTCCCTAATCCCATTTTGTACTAAAGCCCCAATTTTGGTTGTGTCTCTCTCATGCTCTAGAACCCTTGTTCTCAAGAAGATTTTGCTCTCAGACCCCCCACCGATTTGTTTGAAGTGACTTTTCTCTTTTAGTTTTGTTTCTAAAAAAAGGTCCTTTATTCTAGAAGTTTCAGTATTAATTGATATACAATGATATAGTTGCACTTTGCAGGACATTTATTTGTTTTCACTAGACGTGGTGCACCCTTATTCATAAAATTCTAGATCCGCCTCTGCATATAGGTTACAAGTTTGAACCGTGGAAGCAGTCATTAATACTTGCATTAGGGTGGGTTGTCTACATCACACCCTTGGGGTGCGGCCCTTCTCGGGCCTTGCGTGAACGTGAAATACTTTGTGTACCAGACTACTATCTTTACTACTTTTGTTGTCAATACTTTTTCTTCAAACATTTTGAAAACGTTTTTCTTGAGCCGATGGTCTACCGGAAACAACATTTCTACCTCACACAAGGTAGGGGTAAGATCTGTGTATACCCTACCCTCCCAGACTCCACGTGTGAGAATACACTGGGTATATTATTGTTGTTGTTGTATTTAAGAAGAGTTAAGTGGACATACAAATTGGATTGAGGGTAATTTAAAAAATTACTTACCTCCAAGTCTCCATTCTGCTTGACTTTTTTACCTTGAACTCCAAGTTTATCTGATCACAATTTGAACAAGTAGAAAGATGTCATGTTCTAATCTTCTGGCATTAGTCTTGTTAGAATTCAACTGAAAGAACAAGATGAATTTTTTTTACCTTGATTAACTGCAATAACCTCTTTGTTGCTTAGGATTTCATGGGCAGTTTGGTCCATCGAACGTAAATCACAACCTATTATTAAAGGCGCCTATAACAAACAAAAAAAGTACATAACAAATTAAAGTCCATTTTGCAAAGAGATTTTTCTAAAGTTAAATTCAGAATTATAATCACCACTGACTTTTGCTAATGCCCATATGCTGAAATGGGAACGATATTCTGCAGTTGTCATTCCCCCATTTCCAACTTCCAACATGTCTGGATCTGTAACAACAAACATCATGCCAAATTAATTCAAAGTTGGGAAAATTAATTTTAGATTTATTATCAAATTAAATAAATGAAATTTTAATAATTACCGTTCCAGCCACCTGGACCAGCATAAGATGCCCATTTGTCATTCATATCTGCCCGAGAAGTCATGCTGCCAAGTCAAGCATATTAAATTCTTTCACTACCCGTAAATTGACAATCGAGTTAATACTCAGATTCTTTCACTAGTTTTTTATTAAATACGAAATGAAATTACTAATTTGATTAAAATGGGAGCCGGATTTAGAATAACACATAATTTTTTATTTTTTTTTATTTCTATTTTACCTGTCCCAATTATCAGAAATATCTCCAGTGGTTCTCCAACTATTTCCAACAGAGGAAGCCCAAGTGGCAGGATCATCATCTCCCCTGAAATTGAAAAAAAAAATACTTATTAAAATCCTTAGTCTAATCTAGATGTGCCGCCAATGGAATCATCACATTAAATTCAAGAAATATACTCACCATTCACATAGAGAATAAAATATAGCCCTTCCAGAGTTCTGTAAAGCTTTGCTCATTATGGGATACCTGTTTCATTTAAGGAAACAAATACTGTTAATTGACAGTTTAAAATACCGAAAATAATAACAAAAGTTATATACCTTTCTCTTGGACTACGATTTTCGTTGTTACAATTATCGTACTTCAAGTAATCAACCCCCTAAGAAAGATAGGACAAGTTAAATACTGGCGATTAAATGCAAAAGTAAAAATAATAAACTCAATTATAATCTCCAAAATTATGATAATTGTTTCTTCTTTTAAAATGGTCTATATAGGCCAAGCAAACATACCCAGGAAGCAAAAGTTTTTGCATCTTGTTCTTCGTGTCCTAATGAACCTGGCATTTGTTTACTACACGTCTGACTCCTGCATTAGAAAAAAATAGCTAGTTTGAATGTCGTTTATCAATTCTTGGAAATTTCAAAAATGATTTAGTTTTACGTCTTTTAATGTATGCATTACAATATTACAACCACCTAATTACGTATTCCTTATAGAAGGAATACATAAAATTTAAAAGGAATTAATAAAATTATGACTAAGATGCATTGTTTTTGCTTTGGTGATTAATAAAATTTGATAGTTACCAAAATAAAAATAAAAAATTACCCAGCATCAGAATAAATTCCGAGCTTCAATCCTTTGCCATGAACATAATCTGCTAGTGCTTTAATTCCAGAAGGAAAAGTTGAACTTTTAGGAACCATATTTCCCTGTCAAATTTTGTTAAGAGCTTTAGTATCAACTGTTCTATGACTTCGTTCAAAGTATTTCATGCTCTACTCAACGCGAAAATTACCTCCAAAAAAAAAAAAGTTCACCCAAGTTTACATGCAAATTAAGTGTTATAAATCTAGGAGCAGACATACAATATAAGCTGCAAATAAAGTTTCACTCATTGCGTTCAACTTGACTTTATAGAATAGTTTTAAAACAAAATAGTGTGTGCATTAATTGTTCACACCTATTAATTTAAAATTTTAGATCTGTCCCTACATACATTTCAATATTTAAATTAATTGACGTTAGATGCATCCAATGTTTCGTACGTCTTTTTTTTTTTTTGTGAAGCTTTCTGTACTCTAAATAGTCTCATATTCAAAGCGTATAATTGACTATTGAGGTTTTTTTTCCTTTGTCGGCAAAATATTAGCCACAAATGTAATCGTGATAATGGTATTTCCTCCTTTTTTGCCTTTTGGCCATTTTGTTAGGCATTGAACTCTATCTTAAGTGTTGAGTGGTGTTATTCCCTCCTTAATACCTAAATAAAATTCCATTTACGGAGCCTATTCTGTTGTAAAAAGAAAATGTAGGATGACATTATTAAAGGCCTAATACACAAATTACTAAGTGTTCTCATTACCTTAGAATGTAAGTACTAATATGTAATACGAGTATTGGTCTGACAATAGACAAATAGAGTTAGAAATAAGAAATAGGGAAGCATTTTAGTGTACCTGAGAGTCTCTGTTGAGTTCGGCCCAGCAGTCATCTGAAGGAAGAAAATATGACAAATAATTGATTAGGTGTCAAATTATGGAAGTAAAATTATTAACAAGAAGACTGTAATTCGTCAAAGGATAACACTTATATTCTAACGTTGTAACGTTTTTTTTACACTTCATTGTAAATTTACCCGTCATAGCAAGTTACTTGCTTTATTTTTCAAGTTAGAATTCACTTGTTATGAAATAATTAATTAATTGTAATATGTTTTAAAAATTAAACACATTCGTTAAACATGGTAAAGAAAAAGTTACCTATGTTGACGTATTCATAACCAAGAGAAGCAAGTCCAGTAGATACCATTGCATCAGCTGCCACATATAAAACCAACTTGTGACAGCTGTATTGTAGCTAGCAAAGAACTATGGCACATGAATTTGTTCATTTGACTCTTGTCAATTGAGAGTAGTCAATAATTTAGCTGACCTGTTTCTCTTATCATTTTCTCCTCAATATTACAAGCAAAATGATTCCAGCTGCTCCATCTGTTTATCACCCACAACAACAACACTTAATCATCCAAAGCTAGCCTTTCTCTAAATTTACCTTTTTCACATAATTTAAAGAAGATTTTTTTTTTTTTTAAAAAACATGACATTTAAATCTTGAATTATGATAGTTTAGTTTCTTTCTTGAAACGTACCCTTTTCTCTGATTTTGCACAAAAATAAGTGGAGTGGGGTCCACATGAATGGAAAATCCAAGTCAATTAATGGTTTTTGTTTTCTTGTAGTAAAATGTTTTTGAATTATAGATCTTAATTCAATTGTTTTTGGTGCAACAAACAAGTATAGACAACTTGACAAGTTCACGAGCTGCCATTATGAATCTAACATTTGCTTCATGGTTATCTTTCATGATAACAACAACACTACTTATACTTTTCCACTTTCAAATAATTATGTCTTTTATATATATGTAAACAGTGTATAACAAAATCTTACCCCATTTGAGGAGTTCGGCCGAGGCCATTGCTCAAGAGGCTTCTGCGGATGTACGCATTGGAAGTAGTGGAATTTGAATCAGCGATGATCAGATTTCGAAGCTGAGGCCGAGCATACGTCGTCGTTATTACACCACACAAACACAAGCAGCACCATAGTAGCAGCTTTAAAGTTGGTGGCATCATCCTCTGGTTTTTCCGGCACCTTTTCGCTTTGGCTACGACCCCTTTTAGTGAAAAGTCAAATTGGAGCTAGCCTTGGGTTTAATCTGAATGAGCAGCTAGCTAGCTATTTATATACACTAGTTACATAGAATAGAGGTCCACGGGCGTGCTAGGTCAGGGTATTTTTGACACCAACTGAACACAGTATTTTTGATACTAACATATTCTAAATATATGACAACTTACTAAAAATTTACCAAATTAAATTCTAAACTCATAGTTTAAATATATCGGTCACAGTCAGGCGCGGTGGCTGGTGAGGAAAGGTTGTTACTGCTTGAGGTGGACAACATGTATATCAAGGCAGATTTTTCTATTTATAGAGATATAAGAGTGAACCAATTAACCAAAACTACATATCATGATAAGTGACACTTGCTAGTGGTGGTGCCAACAATCATTGACTTCCGCGCGCACTCATCAGTCTTAAATTTCAAGAAAACTTTACTACTTTCATGCGACCATCAACTTATTCTTTACAAACAAGTAGTACAAATTAATTATATTATATCAACAATATTTACTCCCACTAGCTATCTTTTTTCAGACAAGTCCATTTAATGTTTTACTATTACATCCCTCTTACTAAAATGGCAGACCAACATGACTTATTGAACTCACTCGTTGGAAATGAAAGGATAATATATTTTAACGAAATGGTAAAATGCACTACTCAATTATTTCCCGACTCATGACATAGGAGTCCTCGAAATCCTTGCCATTTATTCTAGCTTTTCATTATGTAGATGTCACTATCTTAATCATCTATTCAATATTATTGCGAATTCTCAGAAGCTCAATTTTTTCGTTTTTTTTTAATTTGTCAAGGACGGTTAGAACAAACTATTTGTTTTCTTCTTATTTTAGTGGGTCTTGATTCCTTGGAAGCCACAAAGGTTGTTTCATCGTACTCCCGGGCAAATCAGTTGGTAAAAAATGGTAGAAATATCAATAAATCAATTACGTATGCCTCAATCTCAAATATAAATATGATTAAAATAAGATGAGGAAGCTTCAAATTGAAGCACGGCAGTGTCGGCATTGTTTTGTTTTTTGCAAGTACAGTAAGGCATTGGTCATATCTCATGTGAACTCTATAATCTTCAGACTTCAATATTGTTACGCCTAGAGATTTTCGGTTGTCGTTTGCATTAGCAGATATAGGAGTCTAACGTAAATGCATATCATCTCACGTGACCTCTTTCTTGTCTCGTCTCTCTTCTTTTTCGTTATAGCTTCCTACAGGGCTGGCATACAGCTAACTTTCATTTTAATACAATTTTCCTTTGTCCAATCTCTCTTTTTTCCTCTTTTTCTTCTGATTTTTGGTTCCCCCTTTTCCCACTTTTTCTCTATCCACTTGTATTGTTGTAACGTAACGCAACGCACGATGGCATCATTTCTTATATTTGATCCATTTGATTCCAAGAACCTAATCTTCTTGCATTTTGAAAGCTCTTTCCAAAGCGGAGAACTGATCTTCCAATAATTTACTTTACAGCTTATGCTCAGAAATATTGTTCACAAATGTACAAAATGTAGCTGCATTAACTGTTGCTACATTTACAGAAAGCTAAAATCAACCATATATGCTTTTTTTGTTCTGAATCCAACTCTACTAAGCTCAGGTTATAACTCCACAAAGTCGGATTCAAATATCGGTTTAATCATTCACCATCTTACCTTTTTATCCTGCGAAACACTGAAAGTAGTCCCCGTGCTGATCACTGGAGAGATGGAGGAATCAAGATAACAGAAAGCTCAAATACTACAAAGCAAAGCCAAGCTTCGAATTAACTATAATAAATAACACTTCCCTATTTTGCCAACTATTGAAGCGAACATCTTATAGTCTTTACCCCAGCCTAAAGCTGAAGCATTTGGTGCAAATGTCCTGAATGGTTTTGTGACAGAAGATGATATGGCTGTTTTGACAGCACCATGATATTTCAAGACTAAAGTACTAACATACCATATGCTATGAGATTGGAGAAAAGAAAAAGTATACACTACAGATAATAAAGAACCTTTGAATACAGGAATAGAAACATAGAAGCAATGATAACAGCACACAGTCAAAACTCAAAACCTTCATCTCAAGTAGCAGTTGAAATTGATTGATCTCTTGCCCTGCAGATTAACAGTCCAATATCTCACTGTGGAAATCTTTCCCTTTTCTTTCCACCAGACAGTANGACACATCCATGCTGAGTAATGCCATATCATGGAATAACTGGTTTACTATCCCAAGCCTCTCTTGCTTCGACCAATTCAGGACGGTATCTCTCAGCTAGAACTTCTACTTGTTCAGTAAATGACCTGTTTCCATGTTTACCTATGTGAAGAACCATTTGATTCCATCTCTTTCGACATATCTCGCCACGCCTGTGGTCAAGAAGATTGTCCCAGTCCACATCCTCTATGCAGCTCGCATCCAGCTCAAAAAGTGCATCAACTAGGCGATAGTCATCAGCATCTGCCCATTCACCTTTGGCCACCATGGGTGATGTTAATTGGTCATACCACTTCAAGCAGCAAGTTGCATCAGTTCTTGTGGACAATTTGTCACTTATCGCGCCCCAGGCAATATTATCCCGTAACATCCCATGCTTAGATTTCTTCTCTTCAGAAAGCTTCAGTCTCAGATCGGTGTTTACTAAATCAAACAAAGTCTGGTACTCCTCCTGACTCCATTGACCTTTCTTCTTATTGGCCAGTTTTATCCTTCGCCATGTATCCTTCACATGAAACCGATGTTTTCCAAGTTCATCAGCCAAGACCTTCCAATTGTTCCCGTGCTCTTTGTGGGATTTTCGTACCATCTCATACTCTTCTTCAGTCCATTTACGTGTCTCACTCCTTCGGAACAAGACCTGTGCGCGATAATAAACCGCAGTATACGGCCTGTATGGTATAGCGCTCCCTATTTCTTTCCAGCATCCTTTTACTTCAGGATTAGATCTAGAGTTCAAGATCTTTTGCAGCCCTTCTTCGCCCAAGTTATGTATATCTATGTACTTATGAACAGCTTCTTTGACAATTTCATCTTCTAATTTCGAGAATCGTTTGCCACGCAGTAAATTTTCTTCCTCGGTTTCATGATTCTCATCACTTGGATCACCGGATGAAGGGAAAATCTGAACATGACCAGAGAATCTCACTCTCTTTTCACTCTTTTCATGTGTAGGATCTTCAGAACTGTGTTCTAACATTACCTTTTTCATCTTTCTGATATTACCATTATCTGTTCTGCTTTGTTCTATCTCTTCCACAGTTGAAGAAATATCACCTTGATTGACTTCTGCCATGATATCTCCCTGTCCATCCTTGATATCATGCATTGTCTCCTGCTCATCCCGGCAGCTTTTCTTTAACTTATTGCTTTTCTTTAAGCTTTTCTTTTCTTCAACAATTTTCAAAGCAGCCTCCGCACCGTCTTTATTGAACGTCCTGCTTTTTCTGTCTTTCTTTCTCTTAACATCATAATCTTCACTCTCTCCTGCTGCTTTAATTTCCTTATTGACCTTATCCTTTTCTTTCCTGGTTTCCACAACACACAGCTTCTCTTCCTCTAAGCTTAAATCACCCTCAACAGCTCTAACATCACTCTTTGTCAGTCCTACACCACTGGTCGGAGCATTATTATTGCTTTTCTTGGATTTCTTCTTCCTCCTAATCTCCTCTACTGCGTCTCCACCAGAGACCTCGCTGAGTGTCTCAACCACCTTCTTACTGTCCCGTGTTTCACTCGCACTTGCATGAGCAATAGTCTTGGTGTCTAAAGGAGCATCAAGAATTAACTCTCGCTCATCCTTGCGGCTTCTCTTCAACTTATTGGGTTTCTTTTTTTGAACACTTATTGCAACATCTTCATCACTGCCTTTAACGGACTTCCCAGGATGTGTTCCACCCTCTCTCTTTTTCTTTTTCTTGATTTCACGATCATCTCTCTCTCCTAGTGTTTTAGTTTCCATTTTTGCCTTATTCCTTTCTTTCTTGGTTTCTGCAGCAGATAACTTCTCTTTCTCAAAACTAAAATCAGCATCTACCACTTTAGAATCAGCCACTGCCACTCCTGGACCACTGGTAGCAGCATTCTTATTGCTGTTCTTGGATTTCTTCTCCTTCTTCGGGAGCATATCCAACTTCTTATCTCCTATTACCATGCTTCTTTCGGATATATCAATCGTGTCTTCTTGCAATGCACCAAAAGAGGTTTCTCTGCCAAAGGAGAACAAGAAAAAGGAAAACATGATTAGGAGACAAGGCATACTGATGGAAAACCCTTCTGAGACTACACAGAATGCATTGACAAATTTATAATCAATCTTAAATCTTAATCCACCTGTATAATGTACTGAGACCATAACAGATTACTATTATCAGGGGATAACAGATTTTACTTCAGTTACCGTGGGTTTATATTTGTCTTCACCCATTGTGCACAACTCATAGGACAACTATCATTTAGCAAAACAGACATGGGTTTTAAAACTTTGCTTGTTATTCGAAAATTAAAAATCATGTTAATAAAGCATCTTTTTAAAAGAATTTGAACAACATAAGCATCACAATTCAATCTTTGAAATAGCAAGATCACACAAAATAGAACTCCAAGATTTTCAAAGGAAGCATGCTTCAAAAAGCACAATCCAGTTCAAACTCCGAAATAGAAAGATTACACAAAACCACAAATTCCTACAGAAAATGCTTCGAACAGCACAAGGACTTTCTGACACTAAGGCTATATGGGACACTGAAAATATACTTTCAAAAATCAAAGATTCATTTCCCCATCAAGAGGATGCCTTTGTCTTTTTAGGAGCCAATTGAGTCTCGGGCTCCTTCATGACAACATATTAAGCTCTAATATTTACATTTTACATAGCATATTAGACTTTAATTCTACAACAAACGAGAGAAAAAAACACAGAAGAATAGAACTAGCTTCACTACTACAGGTTCAGCGAGTAATCACACCAAATAAGTACAATGTGAAAAGCTCAAGCAATATACCAAGAAAAATCCCAAAACAAATGCTGCAGCCTGCAAAGTAAGTTCATTCCAATGGCTAAATTCCAGTTCAGGATTCACAACAGATAGAAATATTTTCTTCTTCTAACTAAGTAAAATTCTGATTCCTAATATATGATAAGCTGAAAATATCTATCCAATCCGACATTAAAAAGGATGAGAGTAAACAATTCGAAGAAGCAATCAAATACCGCAAATAGTGGAAGAGTGATTGGAATCCTCGGGAAATTATGGAATTTTCTGAGATAATTTATGTGGATGAGTACTCAGTTGACGTCTATGACACCGCCGGATGTGGTTGCGGTTGCGGCAGCGGTGACGGAGGAGGAGCTGGTGGGAGGGTTTGCTCAGTTGCAAACTTGCAATACTGTTAATTTCTGGTGTTTTTAGTTAGTTTTAGGGTTTTTAGGCATAACCTTTTCGGGTTTAAAGTCCATCGGACCTACCACGTAGCAGCCTCCAAATAATGCATTTATTTCAGAAACAAGTGAAAACTATTTTTCCGAAAATCTTTTTTCTAGTTTTTGCAAAAATTTTAAAAAAAGATCTAAACCTTCTTTTCAACAAATCGTCATTAGAAACTTATTTTCTTTCTCCTTTTTTCTATTTCAAAAACTTAAACAACTCCAATGTGTTTTCAGTTTTTGTAAAGTTTTAAAAGAATCCGTAATTGCCTATGGTTGAAATTATTTTGGATTTTTTTAAAAACAAAAATTTCAACACTCTTTGAAAATAAACACCTTATTATGAATATACGTGACACCTTTTATCTATGTCACGGCACAATTTTTTTTGTTACGTGGATAGAATTCTCTCCAACTAAACTATTTTGAAATTAATATTGTTATAATAGTAGTAATTACGAAGCTAGCCGTGTAATTATCCTTTTCAACATTTTAAAAATGGTTGATTTTTAATTATTAAGTAAGTGATAGATGAGAAATTTAATAAAAATAAAGTGTGAGCAATTATAAGGACAAGTGTGATGAAATAAATACTCAAAAATCATCAAATGTCTACTAGTATAATTCCAAGACCTGGTGTCACAAATGTATGAGTTACTAGTAGAATATACAAAATATTAAACTATTGTCTGAAGTAGAGTAGACAGAAAATAAATATAAAAGAGAGACTTCGGGTGCTGCAGAACGGACTCGGAAGTAGCTCACCACTAAGTCGCGGAGTATTAGGGGTGTGCGTCGGGATGTCTACCAGATGTACCTGCCTCAAATCTTGCACGATTAGTGCAGAAGTGTAGCATGAGTACATAAATAACATGTACACAGTAAGTATCCAGTCTAACCTCGAAGAAGTAGTGACGAGGGTTCGACTTCGACACTTAGTATGGGCCAACAATAAAATACAGAAATTCTAAGCACGTATGAGACATGAAAATAATATTAATAATACAATGTCAAGCAGGGAATAAGTGACCCATTAACTGATAATAAATTTCAAAGTCTCCAACCAACATCTACTAACCCCTAATCAATTTCTGTCATTTAATAAATTTATAACCTCTTGAGCCATAAAATAATATCAAGTGTAATCAGACTCCGAGTATTATTACACAGGATTTATGCTGAGGTCGTACGGCCCGATCCAAAAAATATATTGTGTGCACTGCCGAGGGTCGAACGGTACGAACCATAGATGCATTTATTAACATGCCGAGACGAACGGCCCGCTCTCATGAGAGTGGAGAAGTTTACCTCGCTCGCGGAAATACTTGAGGCGCGAGTGGACATGGATTTCTCAGAGTTATTATATATTCCTCAATTCTTCCAAAAAATAAGAAAACTAAATTAGAAAGTTTCAACCTTACAATCCCTAATCTCATCTTTATTTAAGACAATTAATATACATAGTAAACATAACAGTACAATCAAGGCATGATGTAAATCTAAGACTACCCGGACATCTCATGGAATATAGCTACGCACGAACTCTCGTCACCTAGTGCGCACGTAGCTCCCCAAAACAAGTAATTCGCAACAAGAATACTCCTAAAGGGATGAGTTCTCTCTTACAAGGTTAGGCTAGAGACTTACCTCGTTCTCAAGCTCACTTCTGATCCACAAATATGCCCTAAATCATTAACTTGGTGTCAAACAACCCGAAACTAGTCAAATATTATATAAATTAATCAATACATGTTCAAAAGTTCATAATTTAACTATTAGAGTGATTACCCAATCCAAATTGGAAGATTTTTAAAATTCACCCCAGGTCCACGTGCCCGGATTCTAATTTTTTTTAAAGATAATTGTTACCCATAACCTCACGAACTCAAATATATCATTTTCACCCAATTTCATAATCATTTTCATGGTTAAATCCCATTTTTATCAAAACCTAGGTTTTTAAACTAAACCCATAATTTTCACAATTTTTTATGTTAAAAATTTATCCATAATCTATGTATTTAACTTACCTTAGATAGAAATTACTTACCTTCAATAGTTAGGTGAAAACCCTTCTCTAAGAAGTTTCAAAATCGCCCAAGAAGTGAAATAAATGAGCCAAAATGGCCTAATTCCCTTATTAAATGGACTTTTCTGCCTCCAGTTATAACGACCCGACCAGTCGTTTTGAGCTCTAGCACATCGTTCGGCGATTTGAGGCCTTGAATAGCTCCACTTCAGGTATTATGACTTGTACGTGTGGTCGGAATTGAATTTCGGGAAATTCGGAGTTGATTCGGATAGGAAATTCTAAATTCGAGAGTTTTAAGTTGGAAGAATTGGCTAAGGTTTGACTTTTGAGTAAGTTCCAATAGGTTCGTTAGATGATTTCGGACTTGGGCGTATATTCGGGTTGAGTATCGGGTGGTCCGGGAGCATTTCAGTGCCTATTGTGGAAGGTTAGCATTTTGAAAGTTTAAGAAATTCTTAAGTTTGATTTGAAATGAATTTTGGTGTTATCGATGTCCGTTCGAAGTTTCGAGCCTTGGAATAGGTTCGTATCGTGATTTGTGACTTGAACACAAAATTTGGCGCCATTCCGAAATATTTAAGTGTAATTCGGACGCGTTCGGCGAAGTTTAAATATTTAAAAGATTAAAGAAAGGGTTTGGCCGTCGATTCACAATTTGATGTTGTTTGACGTGATTTGAGGCTTCGACTAAGTCCGTATCGTATTTTGGGATGTGTCGGTATGTTTGGACGGGGTCCCGGGGGCCTCGGGTACGAATCAGATTGGAAACAGATCATGTTTGGACTTGGGAGAGGTGCTGAGGCAGCTGGGATCTGGTGCAATCGCACCTACATGGAAAGGGTCGCAGGTGCGGCGTAGTGGAGCAGAAGCGACAGGTGGACTGATCTGGGATGGCCGCAGATGCGAGGATATTTCTGCATCTGCGAGCGAGCAGATGCGAAGGGTGCTCCGTAGAAGCGGAAAACGAGATGGGCAGATAGGATCGCAGAAGCGGAATATCTCCGCACGTGCGGGAGCGCAAGAGCGTGTGCTAGACCACAGAAGCGGTCGCGCAAGAGCGAAAATTGGTCCGCAGAAGCGGATTTGCCTGGCTTGGAGGGAACCGCACCTGCGATGGATTTTTCCGCAGGTGCGGCTAGTGTTTCGCATGTGCGGAAAGTAGGCTAGGCAGATTGTTTAAAATCGGGGTTTTGCTTATTTCACTCATTTTCTCTCTTGGTTTGGGCGATTTTTGGAGAGCTTTAAGGGAAATTTTTCATCATCTATGGCAAGGTAAGCTATTCCCACCTAATGTGAGTTAAATACATTGATTCTATAAAGATTTAAATATGGAAATTAGTAGAAATTGTGAGATTTTGGAAGAAAACCTAGAATTTGGTATTTTTGTAACCACAAATTTGGACATGGAAATTGAAATAAATTATATATTTAAGTTCGTGTTGTTATGGGTAAAGTTTATCTTCGAAAAGTTTTAGAATCCGGGCCGTGGGCCTGAGGGTTGACTTTGTTGGTTTTTGAGCGAAGTTGGGAATCATTATAAATTGTTAAATTATACGTATCGGGGTATATTTTGATTGGTTTGCACGTTGTTTGACTAGTTTTGGATAGACGGGCATCGGGTTGAGGTGTTTGAGTGGCGTTGGAGCCGGTTATAGAACTTCGGAGCGAGGTAAGTCTTTTGTTTAACCTTGTGAGGGGAAAACTACCCCCCTAGATGATGTAATTGTTATGTGCTTATAGTTGTGGGTGTTACGTACGTACGAGGTGACGAGAGTCCCTACATAGCTAAAGCATGTTTATGTCGAGGTAGACTTAGGACTTTACCATGTAATATTTGAAATACTTGAATCCGTTCTGCTGGCTTAATTAATTGAAATTATTACTGAATTGATTTAGAAATACATGCATATATGTTAGGACGAGCCTTATCACCTTGAGTTGTTGGCTAGTTATTTGAGAAACGGTAAAGGATTTTATTCATGTTGTACTCATGTACTGTATTGTAAGCACGTGTCTCGTGATTCGATAACTTCCTTCCTTTCTTGTGGAGCGGGCCGAACGCCTCGGCAGTATAATAGATGCATCTATGGTTCGTGCCGCTCGATCCTCGGCAGTGTACACATTATTCTGGATCGGGCCGAACGACCTCGACATAATCGTGCGTTGTATCGCTGGTAGTCCGAACATTCACGAGATTATCTTTCTATTGATACCCGACATTGTATATGGTGTCCCTTATTCATTGATATTGGCACTTGACATTTTGCTGAGCCGTTAAGGTAGAATACAAGATTGAGAAATTCATACTTTGAAGTAAATATTTGGAAGATTATATAACTTACAGATTTACCCTGTTATCGCTGTGCACTTCGTATCTGTTATGACTTATTATATTATTTTATTGGACCTCTAGTAAGTGTTGATGTCGACCCCTCATCACTACTTCTCTGGGGTTAGGCTAGATACTTACTGGGCACGCGTTGATTTACGTAATCATGCTGCACTTCTGCACTAAATGTGCAGGATCTGACAAGTTCATTTGGTGATCATCTTGGCGCGTAGGCGCACCTGCTGAGGAGACTTTATGTGAGCTGCATTCCAGGCTACGCATCGCAGTCCACCAAGTCTCCATCGTACCATTTATTTTATCCTATCTTATTTACATTCTGGACAGATATTGTATTATTATTGTATTCCTTAGAAAATGCTCATGCACTTGTGGCATCGGGTTTTAGGGTTATACTAGTTGATGCTTATGGTTTCGTATATTATTAACGCCTTTCAATTCTTTTATAAACTATAAATGTTGTACGTTCCCGTGGATTTAGAAGTGTAAAACTCTTTCTTTATTAAAATTTATGATTTCTACAGTAATAAAATGAATAATTAAATTGATAAATCACCATTGGCTTGTCTGACAGCGGCGTTAGGCACCATCATGACCTATAGTGGATTTTGG